GCCATCCAGGAGGACGCTGCCCGGGCAATGTTCGATGTGAACTTCTGGGGCGCAATGAACGTCAGCAAGGAGGCGCTCCGCGTATTCCGCGAGGTGAACAAACCGGCTGGTGGGCGGCTCCTCCAGGTCTCCTCCATGGCAGGGCTTGTAGGTGGACCCGCTCTAACGATATACCACGCGAGCAAATTTGGTACGCGTCGTTTGTGCGAGCAAATCGCTGAGTGATATGCTGATATTTCCATACAGCACTAGAGGGCCTTAGCGAGTCTATCGCGGCAGAAATCGACCCTGAATGGAACATCAAGGTAAGCATCAAGTCCGCTGTGGTGCGGAAAATGCGGGGAATGTGTTGACCTTGACTTGTTCTCGTGTGTTCGCCAGGTAACGCTCATTGAACTGGGCGTATACAACACGGGCGGTATCGATCGCATCGTCGTGATGCCGTCGCATCCTGCATATACCCAACCAGGGTCAGCCATCACAGCATTCCGGGGATTGCTCGACAACCGCGATGGTTTACGCAACACAGGCGACCCTGCCAAGGCCGCTGCGGCGATGTACAAATTGACGACTCTGCCAAATCCCCCACTCCACCTGCCGTTGGGGAAAGACAGTGTCGCAGCTGCACGGAGCAAAGTAGCACAGCTTGCGGCGGAAACGGATCAATACGAGTCGTGGTCAGACGGATTGAAGGTTGGTGAATGATCGTGAGAGCTGGCAGCGGCGGCGGCGTCGTGGTGTCTGTGTTTACACTGGAGTATCTCCCATACTATTTCAATCCGGGATGCGATTTCGACTTAGAAATTGCTTCGTCCAACCATTGCAATGCATGAACACTCTGACCGAGTGGCATTTTCAGGTCCGTGTTTGTCCCAAGTAAATAGCAGACCCTCGAGGCGAGTATGCGATGCGGTTGATATACACAGTGCGTCTATTTGATGTGCTCGAAGCATATTTTCCTGATGCGATACGCTGTCAAGTATGTGTCAGTGGTACACAAGCAAAAAACTATAAGACGTTGAATACCAAAGTGCCATCGTGTGCGGTCGTACGTCATTTGAGGAAAAGACAAATACACCTAAATTAGAGAGTGGGAGGCCAGCCAAAGCGATTACTCCGCTCTGGGCATGCACGCACACGGTTTCAAATAATTGTCACATTCAGATCATTTGTTGCAAAATTCAACAGTTGAGTCGCAACAACCCGCCTGGGGATAATAATAAGAGGCACATCTCATATCGGATAATAGATCTCGTACCTAGGCACTCCACTTCGCGATATTCTGCTCGCAATTATATGTACGGAGAGGTCATGAATATAGGAACACTATGACAAAAACTCTGAGGCAAGATTTTGATAATTGCGTCCTCCCGCAGCCACCGTTTCAAGGAGTGATAGCGTACCAAGGAGTGATAGATGACTGTACTAGACGACGTAGCCTTGGCACTTTTTCTTATCACGGGATTTTGATCCAAAACCGCAAAGCATTACAGTCATCTATTACTCCCTCGTATGTATCAATAAATGAACGGTATCAACTTGTACGGCACCCTCTTTGCCCACTCATCCCACTGAGTGCCGAATTTCGCCTTCAGCAGTGCATCCTCATCGGATGTGCGCGCGATGGCGTTCCATGAGCCATATGCCCACAACATGGTGGCTAACCCTGCCACTGCCCGCCCTGATGTCGTATCCATGACCCCGCACTCCCTCACCCAGGACCCCTTCGCCGCATAGCACATGCCCAGCCCTACAACGCAAGCAATCACAGTTGGATAGCTCGGGTGGCGAACCACGGAATACGGCCCTTGTGTCACGAGCTTGTGTTCGCTTTGGATGGACATCTCGTACGTGAACAAGCGGCCGAGCTCCCGGTAGCATCTGTATCGAATGAGTGTGCAAATAGTAGAAACAGTGCAGCCAGCGAAGAACATCGGGGACAGTTCAATCCGGTCAGCGAGCGAGGCGGGGCCGCGGATAAGTGCGGTGAGTATCTTTTGTGAGATGGGATGCGAAGGCCACTGTCGCGCGAGGATTACAGCTACCTCCAGGAGGGCACCGGAGCTGAGTACCATCTGTCCAGGCCGACGATCATTTAGGCCGACGATGAGCCATGCGTAGAGAAAATACAGCACCTTGAGTAGGCCGTTATATCTTCGAACGACAGCTGAAAATACGCGTTCCCGTGAAGAGACACCTTTAGCCTTCGTGTTCTGCGGGATTGGCGGGTTCGGGGGTGTTAAGGAAATGTAGGTACCTCCATAGCTCGCAAGGAGTAGAGGAATTTTATAAAGCGACATCTCGAGCAACGTGGTCCTCACACTAGATAGAGGTATGCGTTAGATGTCAGCTTTCAGTGAGCTATATTGACGGACCAGCACCCTCTTATGCGTCTTGCTGATGCAGAGCCGGAGGGACGACTATAAATTGGGGAGCGAAGCTGGGAGGCAGTTGAGAGTGGGAGAAGGTGATAACAGTTGGTCGTTCTCACAACAGATATACATATGACTTGACACTGGACAGCCTAACGGCCTGCGGTGTTCATCAGGCCGGATCAGCCCAGGAGAAAAGACTCTGGCGCCAATTCGACGATGCAGAGAGCAAGTGGAAATTCACCTGGCCTACGTGGTGCATCCGAGGTGGAGCATATTCACAGGGTCTCAGATGTCAATACTATTTTCCCTGCAGGCTAAATAAGGAAAATAAGGAATGGATGTGATATGATCGTTATGATCGCAAGTGTGTGGTCCATACATCTAGACGATCATTTGAGTGCTTTTAGTAGCCGTTATATTGCATAGTGATCAACTTGGATGAAATGTACCTTAATCTTCAGATTTAATACGAGTTAAAGACCGCATCCGTGCAAGCGTTATGGACTAATGGTAATTGAATCAATCGGATTGATGAATAAGATGGTCACAAGTGGGGCTAATGTCAGACTTACTGGTCGATGACAAGAATGAAACGCTGTGTAGGAATCTGATTGGTTAGAAAGCTCCCATTGGAACCGGCCGGGTTCTGCTATCAGCTTCACACTCAATTGAGGAATAAGGGTGAAGAAGTGTTAGAAATCAAGTAAGTACGACATTCAAGATGGTTACTACCTATCATACAGCCATGTCAATAGCACGGCGCATCCTTCAGTTCGTCCACGCATTTATCCAGAGTGCGTCTAGCCCACTCGACCTTATCGTCGTAGTGCGGTCCCGTCGCACCCGTGGGCTGCGCGTGTTGTACAAGTACCATCAACGCCAAGAACAGCGTATACCACATTCGCTTCGTCTTCTGGCGCGTGAACACTATCAGCGTACCGCCGTATCCCTCCATCAGCGCAGCGCTGGGGTCTAGAAGTATCGTCTCCAGTAGCGGATCGCCCCAGAGTGCGTGAGAGAACGATAGGAACGACGTGATGGGCACCTCGTCCCCCTCGCGCGCCTCAAGATCCACGACGATCGTGTCCTCATCTCCCGCAAACGACACGAGCGATGGGACCTCGCAGTCGTCAAAGAGAAAGGAGCCGATCGCGCGCGAGAGGTACCGACGCACGTTCTCATATGCCAGCGTCACCCCGCGCGTCTGCGCATCCATGAGGAGCGACTCTAGTGAGAGCGTGAACGCCTCCTGCCAGCTGTACAGCCCGTCGTGCTCCTGCGTGGGCAGGCCGAACCAGTCGTTCTGCACGTCGTGCAGCTGCTTGAGGTATGCACCGATACGGAGCTCAAGCAGTAGCACCTGCCGCGCAGTGAGTGCGCCGCTGGTGCGCGCATGTGAGAGAGGGACACCACGCGGACGGGAGAGGAGCAGGTACTGGTACGGCACAATGGTGAGGGACGTGTCGAGTGCATGCGCAGTGGGCTGCGGGACGCTCGTCTGCTTGATGAGGAGCTGTAGGAATGCGTGCTCCGCGGACAGAGAGTTGGGTGCGTAGGTCTCCGAGCTCGCTGGTGGAGACGGTGGGGATACTTTCAAGACGTATGCCGAACCGTCGGAAAGCAGGAGGACATACGTCTTCGTCGGGGTGAACGCACTACAAGTCAATTGTAATATCTGTTCTATCAGTGATTTGAGAACGAGAACTCACCTAAACCCCTTGTCTAAAAGTTCTTCGAACGAAGATATCGGCGCAGACCCATCGCAATGGTGGTTCAGGACTCGCTGGGCTTGCTCACGAGTCACATCCAATCTCGCTGATGGGATGTCTGCCTGCACAACTCGCGAGGATATCATAAACGAGCAAATACGACCTGAACCGCTTCACTCACCTGAATATTCATCCAAAATAGTCCAGCTAGTCAAGCTCGCGTTCAATGCGTTCACCGTCCGAGTCGAGTTGCTGCGATCTTATCCGAGTCACACAATCACTGTGAGCGCTGTTTTGATAATCACTGCTCAGCGGCGGCCTCAGCCAGGTTCGCAACGCTCGGACAATGCCGGACAAGACACTCACTTATCCGGAAAATTGACATCAGTGAAGTATGGTCTTGTTATTTATTGCAGCTCCTCGAGTTTCCTCAGTTCTCTTCATGGATCGCTGGCAATACATCCTTTGGCGAAAATGCTCAATTGTGGCTAGGCTCTCTCGTTCTGGTCTCTTGACTTCTGCAGTCAGATGTGGTGGACTGCGCTGACCTCGTATACAGAATATACCTCAGGGTACCGCGGTGGCCCGGTGATCGTGTTGGTGATCCTCCTAGAAATGTCACCAACTCAATACACGCCCCGTCGCCAGGCCTTCAGGATCCGGCCGGTCAAGCGCCGCTCGGCCGCGATGAGTCGAGCCTGACGGCGACGACGACGTGCGGACCGGCGGCGACGCTCTTCTCATTGCTCCGCTACTCTCACCACCTGTCGCTGGCACACCAAACACCTACGGCCGCCTGCAGCCACGAAAGACGGTCAAATCGAACGCTCAGCTGCTGCTGTGCCCTCCCCTCCTCTCAACCCCAATCGAGGACGGACAGCGCGCGCGTTCTCTCAGAGCCTCACACGACGCTCTCCTCATCGCCCGTCTCCTCACCTCCTGTGTCGCCGTCCTCCTCATCGCTCTGCTCCCTGAACATCCAGCAGCCGCTGTGCCCTCCTTTCAGCTTGCAGCAACGCGCTGACGCTAGTCAGCCATCCCATCGCACCCACGAAGGCCTTGTCGTGACCGCGCCGACCCGCCTGCTGCTGTACGAAAGCAGTTTGTTTCCTCTCCCAGACCAGATGCGTCACACCCCCTCATCTCTAGGGGCCGCTGCCCACATCGAACATGCCCTGGTGTGTGCGCTTCCACGTGCCAGTCACTAGCCAGTCTCGTACTCCATCAAGGGTAACTGAAATGCCACCCTGGATGCCAGGCAAGTGCTCGCAACACAGCGTTCACGACACTCAAATCTGCCTGCCTGCGTATGACCTCGCGTACCGCCCGTTGATTGTTACCATCAGTCAGGCCACACAGAATCCTGGACCGGTTAGTTTCTGCATTTTAATCTCATGTGACGGAGAGTTCCATGCTGTAGCATCAGAGTTGAGAACGATACTCATGCAATGCTGGTTTTTGGGCACAATTTGGGCAGATAGTGACTTCAAGGCCGACTTGGTTGGACAATATTTTCCAGTCTCCCGTTGAGGTCGCAACATAATATACTACCACGTGAGTAATCCATCTTCTATAATGTGTGTCTCTGAAGTGCGAATCAACGGTTTCACATCAACATTATCCTCATTTTCAGATAGAGCACCTCCCTGTTAAATCTCAGTTCATTTCCAGAGACGGACCGGACACCCGGCGTTGAGTAGCCACGAGGTAGCCACCCAGTTTTCCTAAATTGGCGGGAGCCAAAAGACCACCAAACATTGCCACTGGGAATTTTGACGTATTTAGAAGGTGAGCCACTCGCTCCAAAGGCGGAAGAATGTGAGCCACTCAGAATTACTATAGATGGAAGGTGTTTAGATGTCTTTGGTCAAAACCAAAGGGTGCCATACAATGCCACTGCCTGAGGCCTCTTTGGCTCTATTTGTTTCTGCCAGAACAGGAAGGAATCAATCGGGCGGCCCAACCACGGGCGCGTAACACGATCGACAGGCCTTCCATCGTGGCTTGTGCCTCGCCGGACAGCCCGTCCGCCGCTATAAATTCGGCCCCCTCCCCCCGCTTTGAACATCCAATCCACCTCCCCCTCCGCTTCAACAGTCGTCCTCCCCTTGTCAAAGCACACATTGCCTCACTCGTACACACCCTCTTGTCCTCCTACACGAGTATACCGCCCTTCATGAAGTCCCAACACCAAGACTCTACCGAAACATCGTCCGAATCGAAGGTAAGGCATCACTTCTGTTTCTCGCTTACTCCCACTAACTATCTTGGTGCAGAAATCAGGGAGTGTTAGTTGCCCCACCTGTGGCAAGTTAGTTTCAAGACGCGCAGACCTCTCAAGGCATCTCAACGTGCATCTACCCCCCGAACTAAAGCTCAAGAAGTACGTGTGATGCATCGTCTGTGTGCTTCCGACCTCTGATATAACAGCGGATAGATCTTTCAAGTGTGATTGGCCTGGATGTACTACGGCTACCCTTCAAAAGTCTAACTTGATGAATCATTATCGGAACGTACAGTATGTAACGCTTCTCGCACCGCCATGAGAGTAAAACTTATTTGTTCACAGCTTGAATAAGAAGGACAAATTTTGCCCTCATTGCGACTTTGTCACTGGTGACGCTGGTTCCTTTTCACGCCATAAAAAAGCGTGTACCGCTGCGAGGGCTGCCCCCATCCTTACTGGCACTGATTCACCAAAGGACACGACGAAGCTGGGCAAACAGCCCTCATCCACACGCATCAGGAAGCAGTCGAAGAGATACAGTCCGTACGGGATACCATCGCCTACGTCCACCGATCACTCTTTCGATCGGAGGGACGTATGCTCGACTCCGACGATCAGCGCACCGGCCTCAGCACCTTTGCCGCCGACTGTCCTCCATGAATCTGACGGCTTTCAGGATGCTTCTCAAGCCATGTATTTCTCCTGGCATGCTGAGGATACTGTCTCTTCCGCAGCATCAAATACTTTGCTTCAAGGCTGGTCTGTGCCTCAACAATCTTTTCAACCTACCCCCCTGGGAGGCCATTCCCAGCCTTCAATGACTCTAGTGCCCGAACTTGACCTTATGCAGTCGTACTCTTTGTCAGTAGATCTTCAGCTGCCAGAAGTTATCCCAAAGTCGGAACCTACCTCTGCGCTCGACTGGCATCAATATGGGATCGCCGATCCCCTGCTATCCCTAAGCCAGCCTTCGACGTCGATCGCTCCTACCTGGGACCCGTCTTTCTCTACGCATATGGCGTGTGCGTTCCCTCAGTTCGACCCGATGCAGTCCCTGTACAGCGTCTCTCAAGACTGTAATGATATTCCGTCTGCGCCGCCTATGCTTGACTCTTATCAGTCGCTGCCATGCACCGGATCAACTCTTCCTTACGCCCCGACCCAGCCTGAGCTGGGCTTGGATGTCTTGGATGGTTGGTTTAATGACCAATTCGGGGTGTCGCTCCTGTGAACGGGGTCTTGCTTGTATAGCCTTCGGCTCTTCATCGTTATGTTGTCCTAGCCTTGCGAAACTCTTCGCTGCTTGGCCTCTCCTGTCTGGAGCCCGCACTCGGTTCTTTCAACCCTACTCGAGCGCCACGGCTCCTCGAACATGACATCGGACATTGCAGTCATCTTGCCTCGCCCTGCGGAATATTCGCTGCCTGGTATCTGTCATCGTCCCTCAACCGCTAGCTAGTATATCTAGCTCCAGACCTTCAAGTCGCACTCCAGTGCACACCGCGCTTTTCTACCAGCGACGGTCTCGAACCCCTTCAGCCGACCTGCTTCGCTGATATCTATATGTTTTAGTCTGCGACATTATCCCTGCGGACCAAAATACCTGCTCATTACTGTACATAGAACTCATGCTGTATCGTTAGACTAGATCTGCCCGCGCCCGTTCTGCGCCTTAAATTATTTCTTTCGCCTTCTCCACAGGTCTTAGCTATCTCTATAATGTACACTAGCCTATTTTTCACGATGTAAATTGTTATCTTAGATGCTTGTTGCAGACTTGCTGCGCTCCAGGCTCCTTGACGCGTAGTGTGCCGGCGCCACAGTCAGGCGCCCTACCCAATTTCAAATCGGACAACATGGTATCACGTGGGTGGCATCTCTGGGCGCCAATTCAACTTATAGAGCGGTCTGACGGTGGGGGCGCACTCAGCCGCTCGCCACACACCCTGTTTGCCTACATCCGATTTTGATCACCAAAGTTTCTTATGTCGGCATGGACTCATGCTCTGGCGAGAATATTCTTGAGCGAGCAAGAGCTCTTGTATCTGATGCGCACAATGTTTGTTTCCTATGTACAGGTCCCGATTCTAGTGAGTACGTATATAATGATACTTGATAGGCTCATGTCGTTGATTTGCGTTCACGTCTCCAAGTTAATCTATGAGCGCGGACTCGATTTATAAAAGGCGTCGTCTAAACAGACGATCCTGAGTGGCCTTCAGACCATCGAAGTGCATGAAACTCCGCATACGCTTGCTACCTCGATTGAAGCGGCGCTGCCTTTGAGCTCGACATGTCGTTTTGAATTCTTTGCCCACAATCGAACAAGGCCAAACACGTCCGCGGAAATCCTGATCGTCACACTCTATCATCTCACCATCTACGATTCTGTGTGCAAAATTACTGCGTAACATCGTGGTGGCTCGACGGTATGTTTTTCAACGCTGCAATAGGCATATATTTTAATTGCACTCTTGCGCTGCATTTGTGTACACACTAGTACAGCAAATGACACGCCTCGATATAGCGGGGCAGGTAACGTGGCAACCGCCATTGCCCCTCAAACTCTAGGTATGTTGGATCCAAAAGTCTTCGCCACTCTTTAGCGTCAGCTCACATATTATTGTATTCCCTTCTAACTAGTGACCATTGTGGTCGGACGATCACTTACATTGACAGCTGTCGTGGATTCTCGACATCTTGGCAGAATGGCGCTATCCTGATCTTTGCGTCTGCGAGAAACAGTATGATTGCCATCATTGTTTGCTATCAAGCTGCATACAATATGTTCTGGGAGGAATCCTCGTTAAAATCTACGAATAACTTTCCGCCACGCTTCGAGGTCAGTCAAGGCCCAGATGCTACAGAGCATAGATCCTGCCAGATGATTTTTATCAGTAATGTCGGAGAGCAAGAACCAATAGTACCTACTCTTCATGCAATTCAATGCCGCCCAACTCTCTCTGCTCCCCAGATTCGACATTGTCGATCACTCTCCTGACATCATCAGCCAAGGGTCCAGGACCACACACGCCAACGAAAACGCCCCTGGGCTTGCTACCACATCCTGGAAGGAGAGTCGCATTGCGCGTACGACTGAGGAGATCCTGCAACCGCAGCGCCACACTTGGTCGACCGGGATTGAGCGTAATCCCTTCAGGAACTTCAAGTGCGCTGAAGTTGTGCTCGTGTGTCTCCGCACGCGTGTAGAAAATAGAAATTTGCAAAGCGGTTGTTGTCGTCACACTCAGTGCCATGAGGGAGGAAAAGATAGGAATGTATGGAGCCAGCGCCTCTGTAAGGAAGGTGAGATTTACGCTCATCAATTATGACATCTGCCTCACCTGGATGACGGACTACCCAGATAAGATCCAAGATGGTTACACTGCTCGTATTTCTTGCTGCCTTCTGAAGTAATTCTTCAGCTGCGGCTAGCGCGTACGAGATCCCACTCCCTCCTGCGATCATGAATGCTCCAGAAAAGCTTGACATCATCGTATTTCCCGGCCCACCTGCATTGCCGTAAGTAATTTGAATATTATGAAGCATCGACAAAACTGACCATAAGGCCCTTCCACCATCACCCTGATGTTGATGCCGACACCTGCATCTTCTTTCCGCGTGTCGTCAGCTGCCAGTTGGTACAATTTTTGTGTCCACCTTCCCGCTATCTTACATAAGAGGACGAGACCTTGCCGCGTCGTGCCCAAACTGGCGCTTGCAATGGTGAACGGATGTGCCTCTGCCCAGCCATACCATCCCATTCCGACAGAGAGTACACGCACCCGGACGTGCTGGCCTGCGCGCCAGCCCGCATTGAGAGATGGCACTTCGACTGCAGTGGCACAAAGCTCTGGGACATCATATATGCGCGCAGTAGTAACGCGTGTTTTGAATGCGCGAAGAATCACATCAAGTGCATATATTCCAGCGCCGGCCAAGACGTAGGAGAGGATACTGGGCATGTGCAGACATACCTACTGTGCAGTGAGTTATGTTTCTAATGCAGAAAATACAAAGCTCACCGCGACCAAAAACAGTATGAATGCCACAAGATGGGAGAGGAAGAAAATGTTGTGTGCCCGTTGTCTCCAGATGGCGAGAGAGAAAAAGAACAGGACATCTACCGATACGAGAGCAACCATACCCCAGGTGTAGCGCGTCTGAGAGATGTGTTTGGTAAAACTCCCCGCAATGGTCCATCGATATACTAATGGCAGGTGAGAACTATCGGGACGGTATAAGATGACTACTCACTGAAACCGATGGCGTGGACGTTAGCAGCGATGACTAGCAGTCGGCCAGAAAAACGATGAATGTAATTCAGCTACACAACGACGACGTAGAATGTTAGCCCGATTAAAAGCGCTAGTCTATTGGACGTACGTGGTCCCATCCGATACCTGACACAAAGCTGATTATATTGTTCTTCGTCGCAAAGGCCACGACCCAGGGAATCTGCGACACAGCGACATAGCCTGGCCTAACTTGGTTCATGAAAAGGCTAGTCTTATAAACTCCAGCAAACAGGAGAGTTACAAAGTAGCCGGTCAGTAGGAGGCCACCGCCGAAGTGGATCCTGCCTATGAATGGAATTCGGAGAATGGTAGTAATGGGCCGCAGCACAGCTGTCCATGAAGGAATGTGGCGGGGTACTACGATGGGCTGAACACCCTTTTCTTCCTCAGCACTTGGACGCCGAAAGAGGGGGGCGTGCGAAGACATGGTATTAGCACTGCTCAGACTGGTGAAACGGGACCGTGAGAGGTCTTGAGAGGTATCTAAATACATTCAATGTGAGTTTGAATGCTTCAAACTATGCGAGACTCAAGCTGAAGGCAACCTACACAGCAGGTGTCCAAATCTTGCCTCCTCTGTATTGGTAAGGCGTGCTAGAATCCGAGGGAGCTGCATAAGAGTGAAAAGAGCAAGGATGCCGACCAAGAATATGTCGACCCAAAATACAACTGCGGAATCGTTGGGTCCTCTGTGGCCGGCCTGCGGCTGGAGGACATCTGAGTTGTTGTAGATGGGAGTGGTCATGACGCTACTGCAAGGGGCTCAGAGACTGAATTGAAGAATGAGGAGAACAGCTGGAAACGACCGCACAGCAGTAAAGAAGGGCAGAGGAAATCGCATCGCCGTCATACCGCGACCGGCGGCTGGGCGGACGCAGGTCGGACTGACATCAAATCGTCCCTTTCCGCGTCGAGGGGCTGGCGATGTTTCTTAAAATGCCAATTTTGACCGCGGCTGGTCGTACTCCCGACGCGGAGTGGAGTGCCAGGTACGAGATCTATATTCCATTATGAGATCTGCCTCTTACTACTCCCAGGCGGGTCGTAGCGATTCGACTGTTGAATTGCGCAACCAATGTTCTGAATGTGACGACTATTCGAAACAGTGTACGTGAATGCCCAGAGCGGCATAATCGCTTTTGTTGGCCTCTCACTCGCGATACTCGCGACGGCGCATAATCATCTTCTGGGCTTTACGTCTCCTCATTACGTCTCGCACGTCCGTCAACATTCCACTTGCTCACCGGTTATCTGTTGAAAATACAATAAAAATTAGCATATTCTTTTTCAGGAATCTGTTTAATCCTGAACGCGCCGTTAGAGCATCTAACGAGCGACTTTCCTCTATCCCGATGCCACTTATTCTGTCGCTCTGAGACTTCGTATTGCATCTCTAATTTTAGTTGAAATTGTCTTTGTCTCAAATGAAGTACGGCCGCACACGATTGCGCCTCGGTATTCAACATCTTATATCTCTTGCTTATGTACCACTGACACATACTTGACAGCGTAGTGCATCAAGAGAGTATGCTTCGAGCCCATCAAGGGTACACTCTGCATATCAACCGCACCGCATACTCGCCTCGGGGATCTGCTATCTATCTGGGACAAACATGGGCCTGAAAGGCCACCCGTACGAAGTGTACATGCATTGCAATGCTTGGACGAAGCAACTTCTTAGTTGAAGTTGCATCACGGATTGAAATAGTAAGTAACTAGGAGAGCTTTGAGTGTAAACACGGATACCATGCCGCCGCCGCCAGCTCTCACGATCATTCACCAACCTTCAATCCCTCTGACCACGACTCATATTGATCCGTTTCCGCCGCAAGCTGTGCTACTTTGCTTCGCGCGGCCGCGACGCTGTCTTTCCCCAACGGCAGGTGGAGTGGGGGGTTTGGCAGAGTCGTCAATTTGTACATCGCCGCAGCGGCCTTGGCAGGGTCGCCTGTGTTGCGCAAGGCATCGCGGTTGCCGAGAAACCCTCGGAATGCCATGACGGCTGACCCTGGTTGGGTATATGCAGGATGCGACGGCATCGCGACGATGCGATCGATACCGCCCGTGTCGTATACGCCCAGTTCAATGAGCGTTATCTGGCGAACACACGAGAATAGGCCAATGTCAACACATTCCCCACATTCCCTGCACCACAGCGGCCTTGACGCTTACCTTGATGTTCCATTCAGGGTCGATTTCTGCCGCGATAGACTCGCTAAGGCCCTCTAGTGCTGTATGGAAATATCAGCATATCACTCAGCGATTTGCTCGCACAAACGACGCGTACCAAATTTGCTCGCGTGGTATATCGTTAGAGCGGGTCCACCTACGAGCCCTGCCATGGAGGAGACCTGGAGGAGCCGTCCACCGGACGGTTTGTTCACCTCGCGGAACACGCGGAGCGCCTCCTTGCTGACGTTCATCGCTCCCCAGAAGTTCACATCGAACATTGCCCGGGCAGCGTCCTCCTGGATGGC